AGCCTGTTCTTTAGATCTAAAGATGTTTTCTGCCTAATGGCTCTTACTTGCTTTTTCAAACTTATGTAGTACAGGCTAAAAATGTGAGAAGCTGACTCAGGGCAGAAACTGGTCCTTTCTGTTCAGACTCATGCTAGTTCTCACAAACTTCTGTTCTCAAGAATTCTCCAGGTTCAGACTGACCCTCTGACTCTGTGAGAGGAGCTCCGAGCAGCTTGCATGTTTTAGTGCCTTGGCATGCAAGATTTTCTTTGGTTAAAATGGCTTCCACCTCAAGGGTCAGTCTCCTTGGGTTCCTGACAGGGGAACCTAATCTAAATTGATCATATGATAAACCTGTAAAAACATGCATACTGTAATTAATCAAAAAAACAATTGGAGAGCTGCTCAAAACGCTGACCAAGACTGTCCACAGTGATGCTTTGGACGTAAATCAGGCGTGCCCATGCAATGTCGACACTGTGCCTTTTACAGATCTGCGTTGGGTCTCATTCCCAACATGTTTTGTTTCAATTCGGCTTGATGGTACCATTTAACAAATTTCTCTCAGTCTAAGCCCGGCACGGCTCTGTGTGGATAATGTGTAAAAAATGACAGTTTTAAAACTTGTCTTTCTGTGGTCTTTCTCGACAGCACAGTGCTTTGTGACAGAAATAGCTTGTGAGGAGTACTCTAAACTGGTGGCTTGTGGCAGGAGTTGATTGTGATGAGTCTTAGAGCAGCAGGTAGTTCGTGACAGGAGCTACAACTCTATTGTGCTCTTTTCCAGGTTCCATGAGTTTACAATAGATGTCAAAAATAAAACATTAATACACCACAAAACTTACAAAATTAGGTTACTGATATTAGTTATAAATTATTTTTGCCTTGTTTGTCTCATTTTAAATGGTATGTTTGTGTCTCCATGGTTACCTGTTGTCACCTTATTGTTCCATGGATGTGTTTTAGACAACCCATGTTTGTGTTACTCTTAAATGTTCTAAAACTAAGGTGTGTGTCCTCCCTCTCTTGTTGTTTTGTTTCTTGTATGTTACCTTGGAAACCAGATTGGTACATACGTACCTCTTTTGCTCCACAGGGTCAAGACACTATAAATTATGCTCCTGGCAGTTTTCAGTCACCGCTACCAAACTAACTGTCCTTGTGTTTCCTCTTGCCCTCTTTGTTTTCACCTTTAGGTAACTCTACAGTTGATAAGTTGTGACATCCTCCCTTACCCTCATTTGGAGGAGAGGGCATGTTTATGTTTTTTCCGCAGAATGCTGACAATGCATGTTGGGTACCTAAATGCCTCATCTGCTTTGCAACATCTCCAGACTCTATGCCACTTATGTCATCACTACACCATCCATCATCGCATCCTGTGTTCCCAATTTTTTGGACTGTGTTTTTAGACTCTGTTCGTGTTTCCTATGAACTGTTTCCACCACCTGGCACCCACCGTTTTCCTCTCTCGACTTTGCCTGTGATGCTATGATTCTCTCCGTGATTCATTAATTGTTCCACATGCTTTGTGCACTGTTGTTTTAATCATTTATATAATGCCCTTCCGTGCTGTACACTGCTTGTCCCCTTAGGGTCCTTTTGTTTGCTTGGAGGGGCACTTAGGCTCTGCCTAACCTTAACACAGAGCACAGGTTGGGGTAAAGGTTACCACCTTCATTAAGAGTCAAATCGATGACCTCACAGCCAGACCTATTCAAGTACATTATCACAGACTAGAGCTCAAAGATCGAGACAACCCCTTTGAGCTTGCCAGGTTCTATAGCGACAAGGAGCATGGATGACTCAAAGGCAGCTTCATTATCAAAACCCCACCCAGCATGGGTGAGAGTTCATGAAGGCCAGAACTATGGAGCTCAGCTGCAGGCAGCTCGACAGGTCTGAGAGTCCTTTCCTGTGGGGAGCTGTAGGCGCCCCACCCCAGAAAACAGCAACCATTGTCTGTGAAACAGGCTGTTTGCAGGCATCAACAATTGACCCAGTTAAAGGCTAACCAGGTGGCACTGTAAAAAACATGTTTTCCTGACCTGACCCTGCCCTGACCTTTTCTACCACACTTGAGAGACTTCTCCATCTTGTGGAACCATCTGGCTTTGTGATATGACTGCGAAACTTATTGTAACGTGATCTGTGAAACTGCGGTCTTTACTGGAACTTACAATTAACTTTGGAATTTGCTGCTGTTGCAAGGGTCTTGTAACAAATGTGCTGTTACAATGGAATTTACCCACCTAGCTTCTTCCCCTTCTTCTTCCCTATAAAAACTTTGTGTAGATGTTCAATAAATGAGACTTGATCAGAAAGCCTGTCTTGTCTCCATTCTTCACGTCTCTTGTCCCTTTCAGTCCCCTCTCCTCTCTCCAGGTTCCCACGTTGACTGTCTTGCGGGCCGAGACAGTCTAGGTTTATGTAGTATTACTAATCATTTCAAGATGGCTATACTTTTTCTCCTGGGTGATTAAGACCATGGATATGATTAGAATTTACTCTATTTTTTCTTTTGTAAAGGCACACTGAATGTCTAGTTCTTAGGGGTTACTTGGGAGAAAGCTCTACCATTCTTTAAGCTTTAATCAGTTATACCATCTGTTGGGATGACTCAAGACCTTCACAAACATGAGACATCACTTGGGAGCATTGAGGGCCATTTCTCTCTGTACTGATTTCCCCTTTTGTTGAATGTGCACTGACCTGAGTTCAACTTGTGGAGTCTCCATGGTCTCTCTGATCAAGGGTAGAGTTGACTTATCTTGGCTGCAAGACACTTTGAGAGATACCCCATAAACCCCTGGAACATAGCTGACCTGGGGTGGGTAAGGACAAAAATATTGGTCCTCTAGGTCCCTTGTTCACATTGGCATAGGCCTCCAGGTATGGTTATTGAACATCCAGAAGGTCAGTTGCTCCAATTGGGAACACCAAAAGATGAGTTAGTTTTGCTCTGATTTACATCTTCTATGGCTACATGTGGCAGAAAGCAGCTGTGCTAACAGAAATAATAACTTAATGACATTCCCTTTGTTGACTTGCAGTTTAAGACAGTCATGTACATCACTTCTGTGCATTATAAGATTCAGAGGCAGCAGCCCTGTGGTACTGGTTTGAGTAAATGAAGTTATATAATTTTATAGACCTAAGGATACCAATATTTGAATAGTGAAATGAGAAAGAAAGAGGAAAAGAGGAAGAAAAGAAATTAAGTGGGAATAAAACTATATTGGTTATAGGTATGAAAAGTAATCTAGAAGTGGTTCTAGATGTAGAGAAACTGTTGCAGGTAGAGAAAGAAGAATCATAAAAACATTTCCTCACTAGAACAAATTTAAAGGAATAACGTGAAATAAAGGTAATGAGCCTTCAGGCAATGTTTTATCATTTTAGGGGTGACATGGTTTCTCTCTCCTTGGATTGTCTTCTGTTTAAGTCTCCTTAGTTTCGGGGAGTACTGCTACTCTCACTAATTCAAACAAATCAAGTCAGTGCATCCTTCCAGAGGAGAAGAATTTCTGTGACCAGAATTTGCTTTCTGCCAGAATTCCCTGATCTGAGGTTCTCTTCTTGCAAGTTTTTCTTTTCTGCTGTTATTGTAGTCATGCCTATCCAGGAGTGAGACTTTAGACTCCTCCTTAGCTTTGTATTTACATGTCTGTGCATAGGGTGATGGCTCAAGGTTTCCCTCTTAGATTCTTTAAGTTGTACTGCTCACCATACATGAGGTAGAATAGTATTGCATTGCTGCTGGAGCCAGACATATTTCCTCATAGATGAGATGCTCACAGGAAAAAGAATGGGTGAAATGTAGCCTGCCCTGGACCAAGTTTCTTTCTGGATCTTGTTCATCCATGTGTTGTAGGAGAAGATTGGTGACCAAGGGATTTTCTTGACACAATTTTTACATTTGTAGTATCAACCATGGATTGAGTAAGACTTGGTAATGGCTGGATCTGGGTAAAATTCTTCTTGACTGTAATGCTTGCAGGAGTGAGGGTGATTAGAATGAGGATGACACCGAGAGAATTTCTTTCTAATTTTCCTGTGTCATATGCCTCAGAGGCAGAGGTAAGGCACAGCTACTCAACACTGCCAGAGAATGCCTCTGAGAGTAAGTGAACAGTGCAAACTCAGTTCTCTCTCCACCAGGTTAATAACAGAGAGCTGTGTATGGTGGTAAAAAGGTGACAGGATCAGTGCTGTCACCTACTACTAGTCCTGAATCAGCACAAATCCACAACTGGCCACGTGCTTGGACTCAGAAGGCAAGATCCCCAGTTCCCTGGTTGTAGATGGTACTGTCCACTCCTCTGTTTGTTGCAACTCCTGTTTCTCATTATGCCGCCCTTGGTGGTTTTGAGGCAGCATGACTACACTGAGTCAAGCCTGGTTTATGAAGCAGCCACCTGTCCAGCGGGTGCAGGAGAATGTCTGCAGAGTTTCAAAGATTGATTCAAATTCAGACAATAAGTTCTCTAAATTTCTCCTGGCAACTGACTCCAGAGGTTCAGATTTCTCTAGATTTCCTTTGGCAGTAGCACCCTGGGTGTTACTGAGAGATTAAATCCTTCTCCAAGGCCAGCTAGCTTACTAAAGCTTTTTATCTATTTAGGCTGGAAGGACTTCAGAACTCCCTTAACTAGGACTGTGAGCATCTGTACTGACAATTTTCTGGAACTAGCAGGTTTCAGAAGATTTTTTTTTCTTACTGGGTGCCTATATTTCTAGATTTCACAAAATTTCCATTTTTCTCATTTCAATTTCAATGTTGTCTTTCTATCACTCACATTAATATATAGTTGTCCATCTTTCGCTTTGGTTTTTCTTTGTGGAGAAGCAGATAACTACTGGATACCTCTGTTTAGCCATCTTGCTCTTCCCCCTTGCATACTGTTCTGACATTTCAAGTAGAAAGCTTTGATGCTTGTTTAAACTTCTGTTATTGGAGTGGAGAGATGGCTTCGTGGTTATGAGCATTGGCTGCTTTTGTAGAGGACCTGGGTTTGGTTCCTAGAACCTACATGGTAGCTAACAACCATCTGTAACTCCAATTCCAGGGGATCTGAAGCCCTTTTCTGACCCTAATGGGCATCGCATGACCTGGGTGCACTTATATACATGTAGACAAAACACTCATACAGATAAAATAAAAATATTCAGACTTCTGTTATATACTAACTAATTTCTTTCACACTTCTGACTTCTCTAATAAGTCAGTATTATTGAAGAGTTCAGGAAAGCTCAAAATATAGAAATGTCAAGTGAGTTTATTTAAGATACATTTGATGAATTTAGATTTTGAGGACTCACTTATGTGAGTAAATCCTTGAAAAAACTATAAATTCTATTTCTGTAGGTGTCCTTTTGATATTGGTTTTTTAAGTGTGCTCCTGTAGAATTTTATTGTTGAGCCACAAATGGGGTGGTGGGAGACATTACAAAAATTTCCAGCCTACTATTAGACCACAGAACTTATACAGCTTAGTATATATATAATTTTGAAGCTTTGAATAAAGTTTATTCAGAAAAAAATACTTAGGAGCAAAATGAAGCTATTATCGCTATAGGCAACATAAAACTCATAGCTATGTCAGTTTCATTGGATTCTTCATGACATTTTCATAGGTAAAAGTCTAAAGATGAAGCTAATTTATTTGTATTAATTGACTTTTAAACATAATTAGCTGACGATGCTAGTGGATTTTCATTTGCTTCAAGAACTGAGATTAATACTACTTACTCACTTTCTGTTTTCAGATGAATTTAACACCACTTACAATAGTGCAATTTTAGACCATAAACTCTCTTAGCATAATTCTACCTGTGTGTGCATAGTTTGCTACCTACTAGTCAGTTCATGTGGTATATCTTTTGATGACTACTATGTTTTTCTCCTAGTGAGCCAGCCCGTAGTAGTTTCTACTACAGATATGATAGAGATAGTAAATGAAGTTTCCAACTTGAGCATTGCTCATGAAATCATTGTAAACCAAGATTTCTCTGTGGAAGAGAAGAATTTACCTGAAAACAGGTACGTACTCTTCTACTTTTTTGTGTTCTTAATTTATTGACATAGTTACCTAGGACAGATGGCTTTTGTTCATGTCCGATGCGTTTTTATTAAGAAATATAGTGCTTGATAAATAAATAATTAAGTGGTATAGTATAATTCAATAGTAATTAAATAAATAGTATCACATAATCCAGCAGAATAATCAGTATAAATATTTTTAAAATGTCAAAATGGTGCATAGAGATGGTTCAGTGGATGAAATCAGTTGCTCCACAAGCATGAGGACCTATGTTCAAATCCCTAGCACCCATGTAAAAAGCCCAGCATGGCCATGTGCATGCCTGTAACACCAGCAATGCATAGCACAGAGACAGAATGATCACTGGGGCTTTCTGACAGCCTAGTTCCAGGTTCAGTGGAAGACCTGTCTCAAAGAGATAAGGATAAGGCTGATAGATCAAGACATCCAACATCCTCCTCCAGCCTTTGCATGTGCACCCTCACACAGTCTTTGCATGTGCAGCAACACACACACACGCACACACGTGCTCACGTGTGGACATGCACACACACACACACACACAAACACACAAATAAAACTGCCAAAGTATCTAATTATATCTAAATAAAAAATAAAGCAATATAATTACTGTCAAAATGTTAATTCCAGGCTTTTAGTTAATAAGTTCAGATCCTTTCAGATGAACTTGGAGGATAAAGCTTCCAGAAGATAGTCTTCAAATTTTCTGAAAATTAAACTGGTGTAGATAAATAAATAACCTGTCTTAATGGTGATATTACCATTCCTTATGTGATAAGACATTTCAGAGAGGATTCCTATTTCTTAATTGACTTACATAAGAAAAAATAGGCCATATTGTAGCTGTCCATAATTATATTCATATTGAAATACACAAGTAAGAGTCATTCAGTAAATATGAATTTCATGCCTTTAATGAATTATTAACAGTTAAATGGGAGCTGGAGGGATAGCTCAGCAGGTAAAGGTAGTTGACACCAAGTCCAAGGACCCAAGTTTGATCCCTGGAGCCCACATGGTAGAAGGAGAGCACTAATTTCTGCAAGATGTCCTTTGATCTCCACACACACCATGGCACTTTTGCAGAAGCAGGTACACAAATGGCACACAAAATAAGTAAATGAACATAAACACTTTAAAAAGTTAAATGTGTAATTTTTCCAATAATGTTATTTTATGTTAGTTTTATGATTTCCCACCTTGAATGCTTCATTTGTCGTTTTCAAGATTCTGATACAAGACAACATGCTTAGTCATTGGTTCTTTATATTCTCATGTTTCTTAGATTTATTCTGCTTGGTGCTAATGGAGACACATGCTAAGTACACTTTCTGTGAAAGGAGTTTCCGCCAAAACACATTTATTCTAGCATCTTCTTCATTATATTCATAGTCCTTATAATTTGAGTCAGATTGATTTTTCTGCTGGCAAGGATGCAGAGAAAAGTAAAAGTGAAGAATGATGTAATGTTAAAGTGCCTAGTCATGATGATAGTAAAGGGTTGGTAGATGAAGCAGGTAAAATTATATTACTTAGTTTGAATTTCACTGTTTGGTTTCAGCATCATTTGTTAAGTATAATAATATAAAAAGTATATTGGGGAAAGTTTGAAATAGAGTTTAGGGTAATATTTTAGCTATAAAATATTATTGTTATAATTGACAACTTGTTTTACTCTGGGAATTAAAATATGATAGTAATTATTGTTACCAGTTCTTAATGGAAATGCCATTACCATTAATTTTTAACAAACATTTACTGGGTGCTTATTAGGCAGGAAGTAGAATGTTGAATGCTGAGTACATACAGGTGAGTATGATGGCTTTGCCATCAGAAAGTTCCCATGTGGTATAAAGGGCTACATATACAGAAATGCAAAGTAAGTCATGCATCTAGTGTAGATGCAAGATCAGGATCAGAAGTCAGGGTCTCAAATTTTTGTTTATGATTTTCCTATTGCAAGAGAGCACTCTGGAATCTTAAGGTATTCTGAGATGATCTAACTAATGGTTTTTACTGATTAACTGCAGTTGATGTAACATTTCTAAAGTCTAAATGTATCTCCTCACATTTTGTGAGATCATGATCTTATAACAATTCTCTAGGTAAAGATCAATTTTCTCATTTTATCTTCTTACTAGTATTGAAAGTTGGTTTGTGGAGACAATGTACAGTGCATTTTGGGATCATCTGGAAGAACAGTTATCAAAAACTCCTCCTGATTTCAGTTGTGCTCTTGAACTTATTAGCAATATTAAACATGTGAGTAACCAACCTTCCCTTTGTTTATATGAAATTCCAAGATACGGTAGTCCCTTAGATAATTAGTAGCATACAAATATTCTAAGCAGCATACTTTCTAAATATACATGGTGTGGAATATTTTCATTTTATTTGTACGAGATGACGTTTGAGAGTTAGGTTATTTTAATAACATAATGCATCATTCAATAAAACAACTTTTAGCTGTACCTCTACTGTCTAAAGTGTTCCAGAAGCAGAGAGAAGAATGAGAAAGAATTCTTACCCACAAGGAAATGATACTTTTGAATCAAAAGGCTATTTCAAGTGACCATTTAAGAATGATTTTCTTACTTTATCCCTGCCCTTTGGAGTAAAATAACCTGAAAATGTCCTTGTCTTTTATAAAATTTGCCTCATTACTTTGAAGTGGTATATATTTTATATGGTGGCCTAGTATTATTTTTATTCATGGTTTTTTATCTCATTCTACCTTGAAAATAATCACTACTGCTATAAATTATTTCAACAAAGCCTTGAATTATAATCGTCTCCTAAACAGAGAGAGCTAATTGTCTAAGTGACCCCTAGAAGACATAGTATAACATGCCTTTAGCTTAAGGGCATTTTTCCCTGGGGCAAGTTTAGGATTCTCAACTGGATTCTCTCTTCTTTTCATGGACAGACCTTGATATCACTGCTGTTACCACGGCAGAACTGTCTAAGAAATGAGATTGAAGGAGCACTAGATATGGATCTCCTCAGGCAAGAAACAGAGCATGGTGCTCTGGATATGCCTCATCTTTCTAACTATATTCTCAGATTGATGGCCCTACTTTGTGCACCAGTTCGTGATGAGGCAGTACAGAAATTAGAGGGCATAAAAGATCCAGTACAGTTACTGAGGTAAGAATTTAGACATGCTGCTTTAGTCTATTTTTGTTGTTGATAACATGAGACCAGACTATGGGTAAATTATAAAGAGAAGCAGTTTATTTTGACTCCTGTTCTGGAAGTCCATGTTTGAAGGGTTGTATGTAGTGGTGGCTTTGTTGCTGATCAAGTCTCAAGGTGGTACAGAGCACAATATGGTGAGAAAAGGGCACATCAGTGTGTCTTATTTTCTCTATTTTCTTATGAAATCATGAAATCAGTAATATTCAATCATGGGGAGTCCAGTCTGATGATATTATGTAACCTTAATTACAACCCAAAGACTTCACATAGAAGCACCAAAGTTGGATTAAGTTTTCTACCATCTTAATACCTCACAGTTGAAATTAAAGTTCAACCCTAGTTTTGGAGGGACGAGTCATTTTAAGACCATAACAACTGCTTTTCTGGAAGTCCACATATATCATGAAAGAAAACTTTGAGTGAGATATTACTTTGTGCCTCTGTCTTATTTGAACTCCTGTACTGAAGACCTGACAAACATCTTTTTTTACTTTAAATTTTTTTCTACTTTTCTTTTTTCATTTTTGACAGTTCAATACATTTAGACAATGTATTATGATTATATTTGCCCCTCTATTATTCTTCCAGTCTTGATGACCCCTTTCTTCTTCTACTTCTATGTTCATGTCTTATTTTATGCAAAACTTCTACAGGTAGCCACAGATGCCATGTGCTCATGGTTGCAATGGCCATGTCACATCCACAAAGTAGCATTTTATAGGTTTATACTTTGGCTTTTTCTGCTCTCACTTCTGTGATGTGAAAATGGGGGTTATACAGATGATCTGTTTATGTCTTGACCCTCAATAGTCACTTATTATCAATACTTTGACTAGTTCTGAGTCTCTGAATTAACTGTCACACATTGTACAAAGCAGCTTCTGTTTCCCAGGCAGAGAGCAGCACTACTGACTTAGATATGTTTTACTCCCTGTCCTGTTGACTTTTACTTGGCAAGGATAGTTTCTCTGGCTTATTTTGATGATTGTTAGATCATTTGGCTTCTGTTTATGGCATGAAATGTTATGATACTCGTAAAACATCAAAGTACAATAATTCTTCTACAGATTTCAAACAACCAATTCTCCGATGGTCTCCTATTTATCAGAATCCAGACTGTATAAAGGAATAGGAATGAAAACTATCACTGTTTCACAGGTAGAAAAATCAGGACTCAGAAGAATGAAATGATTTAAGAAATTAGTTTGTTCAGGTTCCAGTAGATGGACTCATACTGAGGGATATCTAGAGACACACACACTTGACTGGGTAGGCCTTAACATATATGACAACACACATGAAAACCATTGGGGTAGGCTATGGGAGTACAGATAGGAGAAGGGGTCTCAGTATGATCAGGATGTATTATATGAAAAGCATAAGAATTTAATAAAAAATAGAAATTAAGCAACCACATTGTAGTCATTTACAGATAATTATTGCTACTTTGGTTATTTTTTTTCTTCTATTAACTACCTTTTTCCTGATGTGACAGTATACTACAGTGCAAAGATCTCTGGGCTGGTTGTTGAAAGGTCATAATATGTATCTGATTTTTGATCTGCTACCAAATCACCCTTTGTCATTTGGTTACTGGACAATGCCTTTATTTGTGTCTTAGTCTTTTTTATAATTCTGTATCGGAATATCTCAGGCTAGATAAGTTTTTAAAAAGGAAGTTTGTTTCTTACACTTTGGGAGACTGGGAGGTCTAAGATTGACTACATCTGGTGAGGGTTTTAATACATTTTGTATTGTTTTAGAATTTTCTACATGAATACTATATTTACTTTATTTCCACCCTCTCCCACTTCTTACTCCTCCCACATTCTCCCCACTCCATTTCAGCGTCCTGATTTCTTCTTTATTTATGATTATTATTGTTTATTATTATTAATTATTATTATTATTATTGTGTATCAACAACTGACTGAGTCCATTTAGTGGTGCTAGTATGCACATGTGTTTAGGGCTGACCACTTGGAATTGGATAAACTGTCAGGGTTCTTGTCACTGCAAGAAACTGATTCTCCTCTCAGGAGCCATTGCCTGAAGCTCTTCATCTAGAGGTGTGACCTTGTGAAATTTGCTCTGTCTACCTTATCATGTCAAATGATGTTATTATGTTGGTCTTGTTTAGGCAACCATGTTGTTGAGACTTGAGGGGTTCAACTTCCATGTCATGTCTAGAAAACACTATTTAGCACTGAGCATTTTGGTCCTCTGGCTCTTAGAATCTTTCCATCACCTTTTCCATGATGTTTCCTGATCCGTAAGTGGAGGGGTTGCATTTAAGGTGTATGAATTAGGGCTGGGTACCCCATCATCACTTATTCTCTGCATTTTGGCTAGTTAGGTTTCTCTGTAATTGTTCTCATCTGTTACAAACAGAAGCTTCTCTGATGAGTGATGAGAGGTATGCTTATCAATGGGTTCAAGGGTAAAATTTTAGAATACAATTAGACATTATATTGGTTTAGAGATATGACAGTAGTAGGTTCTCTTCTAGTGTCTGCAACCTCTTCAGCTGCAGGTATTTGGCTAGGTTTATTGGATGAGACATAAATTCCCTCCTCTCGAGTGTGTCTTAAGTCCAAGTAAGTCACTGTTGGTTAGTCCCAAGATAAAAGTACTACTATAGTAAAATTAGGGATATCTTCCTGGGCTGATCATTGGGTAGTTCACAGGGCTTTACATGTGGTTAGAACTATTGATCGCTTTTCTCATATTGCAACTTACATAGAGCTTTCTGTTACTATGAGAGCTATTCCTTAGGGACAAGGCTTACAGGTCAGTTTCAGCTTGAATCCTCCAACTCCCATGCCCAAAGTTTGTGGTGTCTTCAACAATAGGATCTTACCTTCAAGGTCTGGGAGGCAACCAAGAGCAATAACAATAGCCTATATTGTTTTGGGAGTTTGACTAATAACTGGAAGGGATGTTTCCTTTTCCTGAAACTGGGGGTTTTGTTAGTCTGCAGGTCTTGGGCAGAGCATTTTCATCCTGTGTGACATAACTCCATTTGAACTACACACACACACACACACACACACACACACACACACACACATGCACACACACATGCATGCACACACACACTATATTTTTTGACACATCATAACATGATAAAAGATGTCAGATGACCACATAAATCAAGAAGTCAAACTCACAGCCTCATGATATTTTATAATCAGCATTGATCCAATCTATTCACGAAAGTGAAGTCTTCATGACCTGAACACCTCCCATAAGGTGCCACCTCCAAACACTATCCTAAATGAGGATTAAGTTAATAACACCTTTTTTCTGAGGCACACATTCAAACTATAGATTATGCTACCATCCTATAAAATTCATTTCCTTTTTGAATGCAAAATAAATTCTTTCTGTCCCAATAGCCCCACAATCTTAGCTTTTCTAAGTTCAGTTCTAGAGTCCAGAATCCAGACTCTCACATGAATCATTTATGGGTTATAGTCAAGGCTTGATCCTCTTGAAGCACTTTCTTCTGACCTTGTCAGCTTCTGAATTTAAACAGTTTATTTACTTCCAAAATATATTTGTTGGTGTGTTAGTTATTGTTACATCACTGTGACTACAAAACAAACAACAACAAAAAACCCAAAACATCTTAAAGGAAAGATTAATTTTGACTCAAAGTTTTAGATTGTTTCAGTTCATGAATGACCTACATGGCAGAACATGTGGTAGAGGCTGTTCCTATCACAGTATACCAGGAAACTGAGAGGAGGCCAGAACCAGGACCAAGTATAAACTTCAAAGACCCACCTCTAGTGACCTATTTATGCCAGCTAGGGCTCACTTTTTAAATGTAACATGGAATCTCCTAAATAACTCCATCACCTAGGAAACTAGCATTCAAAGTATGAGCCAGTGTGGGACATTTCAGACTGAAACTGTAACAGAGGGGTGTAGGAATAGCATTGGCATTCACATTCCAAAAGGGAGCAATAGGCAAGAAAGGGGCAACTTGTTCTAAGAAAGTCCAAAAGCCAAGAAGAGTAAAAATATTACATTAAGATGCCTAGATAATCTCTTTTGACTCCATGTCCTGTATCCTAAGTACACTGGGACAGGATTATACTCTCAAAAGTCTTGGCCAGCCCCGCCTCCACAGTTTATTGGACTCATCCAATACAGAAGCACTCATGAATTAGGGTCTCATGTTTGTAGTTTTCCCAGAATGACTGTGTATTGGTAACTCTACAGTTCTGGGGTTTTGGAAGAAGCCCTGCAGCTCCCGTAGACATCGCCCGGCATATGGAGGCTCTTTTGCAACTGTACCTCTATGGCATATTTCCGCCTAGGCCCCAAGCATGTCTCATCTATCCTTTTAAATCAAGCGAAAGACTGCTGTTGCTTCATAGTTCATGTATTCTGTGTGTTTTCAGAATTAGCACCACAAGGGTGCTAACAAGGCTTACCATGTGTCTTCTCCATACTAGTGGCCAGAGTCACACTTAATCTAGCCTACAAACAACTTAAGGTTGTTTGCACTGTCTGTGGTAGCTGAGGAACACTATACTGAAATTCAGGGAGCAAAGTCTCTAGGCATCCTTGGAAAGTAAATGATAATATCCTGTGGGTTTGTCTCTATAAATATTACAGTAAAGATCCTTACTTGCTGTGAAGATCTCTAAAATTCATTGGGGATGTTTTCCATTATCTTTATTAATAACACTTGACTCTCTTCATGTTTATCTTTTTACCAAAAAATAATTTGGTTTGGTCTCCATGCCTTTTTACTGTTTACATTGCCAGACTGAAAATTTCCAAGTTATTCTGCTCTCCTTTCCTGTCTTTAATTTGCTCCCCCTTGCATGTGTTGCTGCATGTGATTAAATGTAGCCCTGGAACTCCTTCAATATTGTGCTAAGAAATATCTTTTTGCAGATACCCTAGGGCATTGCTCTTAAAAACCTGCCTTCAATAAAAATTCTTGGTCATGGACACAATTCAAGTTACTTGCTAATTTATATCAAGGATTGCATTTACTTTCCCATAATATAGCCCTTTCTGTTTTCCGGTGAGAATCCTCATTTCCATTGAGACTTCATCAATATCATCCATATTTCTACCAACATTTGTATCATAAGTACTTTACTCTTTATCCCACTTCCTCTCCTAATAACTTCCTTCTTATTCCCAATTAGTCCTCCTTCTATGTTCGTGTCTTATTTTGTGTAAAGCTTCCACAGATAGCAAAGGCCATGTCATAGCCAGAAGATGGCATTTCATAGGTCCATCCTTTGGCTCTTTCTGCCCTCTCTTCTGTAATGTTCCCTGGGCCTTGGACGGGTGATATTGATGTTCTGTTCTGGACATTTCCAAGCAGATGAGACCCACTACAGATACTCTTTTCTTCTAAGCTCTCATCTGAATTACCCTTAACACTCCATTCATGTCAATAAACCCCCTTTTCTAGCCTTCTTTTCCAAGCTGTTTCTGACTTTTCCTATTTTTGACATTCTCATGTATTTGATATATCAGTAGTCCTAATTCTCAGTACTACTTTTTTGTCTTAACCTGTTTTGTTGTGCTACAACAAATATTCAAGATTGGATAATTTCTAAAAAGCAGAGATTTATTTCTTACAGCTGTGGAGGAGGTAACACATAGTACTGAGTGACTACAACTGATGAGGAAATTCTTGATGCATTATAACGTAATGGAAAGGATTGCCTTGTAAAATAGAGCAACAGACTGAATTTTCAGATCCAAGTTCTTTTATAATTAAATTCACTTATTCATGAGGGTGAAACACTTACAATATAAATATCTCTTACTGTGCCTCTACTCTAAGCAATGTCACATGAAGGATTAAGTTTTTAAAGTGTGGGTTTTTTTTTTTTTTGCTGGGGTCATGTTCAAAGTGTAGCCATTTGCAGTCGAAATAGTTGTTTCGTAGGCACTCTAAAGTACTGTGATTTTTAGTATTCTTTCCTTGAATTAGACTCCTGAATACTAGATTTCCTTTGATACTGTAAACATTCAGCTTCTTTCTGTGACAGGGGCATCTTTAAGGTTCTGGGCCTAATGAAAGTGGACATGGTCAACTATATGATCAAGAACATTCGGCCGTATTTACAGGAACATTCTGTCCAGTATGAACGAGCTAAATTCCAGGAATTACTTGACAAACAACCCAGTATGTTTAAATTTTCAGCAGAGGGGGGAATTTGACTTGTATTTTATTTTTGTGCAGTGATATTTTTATTACTGAATAGAAAATGTATTTGTTGAGTAAAGGGTAGAAGGAAGAAGAATATCTCCAGGACAGGAAGGCTTACAAAAATCACTGTTTATAAAGTTGAATGTATTCCTTTGACAATTTCACCTATGTACACAGTTCCATATAATCACATTCACCCCATCTTCTCTTGTACCCCTTCTATTGCTACCAAACTCCCCCCTCTTTTCAACAGTTCCTTAAACCACTTCATGTCTTTTTTTTTCCTTTTAGCCTTATGGCCTACTGAGTTTGAGGGCTGCCCACACAAGCATAGATGTGCAGCCATCCATTGGAACATAAATAACTCACCAGTGGCTGCATCACTGAATGACTCCCCTTACCTCAGCAGCCATCAATAACTAGTAGTTCCTCAAGGATTGGTACAGCCCCATGAGCCTCTCTCCCATCTATGACTATATATATATATGTTCACAGGCATTGCAGGCTATCTCGGCTGCTGTGAGGTTATGATTTCAATAAGCATGTCATGCCCAGAAGATATTATTTCATAGCTCTTGCATTCTTTCTGCCCCATCTTCTGTGATATTCTGAGACCTGGAGGGGCTGAGATACATGTTATAGTTAGAGCTGAGTACTCAGGAGTCACCTAGTCTTAGGACCTTGAGAAACTGTGAATCTTTTCACTGACTTCTGCTTGTTGCAAACAGAAGCTTCCCTGGTTGGGGCTGAGAGCAGCACATATCTATGGGTATAAACATATTTAGCAAAAAAAGGTAATAGGTGTACCCCTCAGGCCTATAGCCTCCTCAGGCATGGGCCTTTATTGAGGTCCACAAACCCAGGCACGGATGGGAGTGAGTGTCATATTCAATTGAAAGTTTGTCCACCACTTCAATTATAGTCATGCCACTATTGCATCAGTGAGTATATCTTGCCTGGAAGTGTTGGTATTATAATAAACAGAGTCCTTCACTGGGTAAGACCACTGATGATTTTTCTCCCCCAGTTGCCTTTATAGCACCTTCTTGCAATATGAAAACTGGTCAGAAGGGAGAAAATATCCAGTTGAGTTCTGGCTCATAAAATTACTCTTTTATTCACTATTAGAATATCCCAAAGTCTTGATATTCAAGCCTTGGTAGTTAAAAATTTGTATTCCCTTTTCTGGCGTAGATCTCCTTGACTGTACCACAAAGTGGGTAACTCGAGCAGCCACAGACATTATTACATCTTTACCAAGTTCATCTGGTTCTCCCACCTTCTCCTTTGGCCTAGCAAGTTCATTTTCAGCTTCAGAAACAAACCCAGGGTCACCTAGTCTCACAATGGTACTATACCAAGGTTACCTGAATCTTGTTCTCAGGGATCATGGAAATGAAGAATTCCCTGAGGTAGGAATGCGTGTTGGGGGCATTGACTTCTTTTCTTTCACTTAGCAGCTTCTTTAGGACCCTTCTTTTCTGATAGCCTGTTCTTTCTTGCCTAACCAGACTCTGATGATGGATAAAGCCCAGCTACAGACCATGAAGTCCAAGTTGCATCATTTAACTATACTAGCCTCTGTTCTGCTTGTGGCAAGAAGTTTTTCCTGTGGCGTTTTATTCAGCTCACCTCAATTTGTGGATAAACTGAAGTGTATAACCAAGGCCCTAACAGAGGACTTTAACTCCAAGTATGTTTCATAGCTCTCTCATGGTGTGTGTACATATTCATATGTGTATGTACATGTATGTGCTGTTGTGTGCAGTAGTGGAGGCCAGAAGTGAACTTCAGGAGTCTGCAATTATTTTCCAACTTATTTTATGAGACAGGGCTGCTCACTGAACCTGGATCTAACTTACTTGGATACGCTGGCTGACCAGCAAGCTCCAGGGGTCTGCCAGTCTCCACCTTCCCAGTGCTGTGATTATAGGAATGCACCACCACATCTGGCTTCTTGTGAGACTCATAGCCTCATACTTATGGGGCAAACATGTGTTCCCTAGACCTCTTCCAGATGTTTCTTAGATTTAAATGGACTTATATAGTGTGATGTGTGTGTGTGTCTGTGTGTGTGTGTGTCTGTGTGTCTGTGCATGTAATTCCATTACTCGTCACACAAAGAACTTTGGAAACCAGTTCCCAAAAGATTGTCGGTATTTCACGCTTTGCATAGAGAAAAATAATTTTTTTTTTCACAAAAAGAGTTTAGCGTGCTACAAACAGCTAATATGTTTTCTTAAGGTGGGTAATTATATATTTCATTGGGTGATAGTAGATTTGTGTTAGTTAGTCTCCCCAGAATTTGATAATTTGTTCATTTATATTGATTGATTGATTATTCTGTGTACAAGCATTCAATTTCAAAGTAAATATCAGTTTGAAATTTAATTTTATTAATGATTTGCAGTTTATTTGGTAAAGTAGTAAGAACAAATATGAAAAATATCTAAGAAAACCTTGAATATATTGTCAAAAGGTTACTGGGTGGCTCCTAGGATGAAATCTAAATCCTTGCCCAATATAATTTTTCCTTTGAAGTTGACATAAAGTACTACATGTGTGAATTAGTTGATACATTGAGAATACTAATGGAACTATTTTACATGCTCATGAATGTGCCTAGCTTCTAGTATGGGACTTTGTGAATTTGGCCCCTATGCCAAGGTAACTGTACTTTCTGTCCTTCATTATCCAGTCCAGAAGAGTCTATGCTGTGTGTTAGTGAACAAGTGTCTGAAGAAATCCATCAGGACCTCAAGGACACAGGCCTCACTGTTCTGAGCAATGAAAACAGGGCATCTCTTATAGGCCAGCTATGGAACATTGCCAAGAAAGAGAACTGCATTCATACCATCATTAGTAAGCATTCCCAAAATAGTGGTGATAAAAAGCAGCAAAAGTATGCTGTGCTGGATAGCTTCAGTGTCAACTTGACACACCTGGTTGAGGGAGCCTCAATTGGGGAATTGCCTCTATTGGACTGGCCTGTGGCCATGTCTGAAGGGCATCTTCTTGATGAGTGATGTGGGAGGACCCAGCCCACTGTGGGTGGTGCCACCCCTGGGCAGGTGGGCCTGTGTTGCATAAGAAAGCAGGCTGAGGAGGAGCCAAGGGAGCAAGCCTGTAAGCAGCATTCCTCCATGGCCTGTGCTCCAGCTCCTGCCTCCAGGTTCCTGCCCTGAGTTCCTACCTTGGGCTCCCTGATGAATTGCGTGCGACCTGGGAGATGTAAGACAAATAAACCCTTTCCTCCCCAAGTTGGTACTGGTCAGAGTGTTTTGTCACAGCAATGAAGAACAAACTAAGACATATGCCAAGTGGGAGTTATACTCAGCTCTGTAAGTGGGTTACTGAACCATTTAAAAATGGTAAGCCATAGTATTTGGCAAGTATTTTAGTTTCATTTTATTTATCTATAAAAGTAGTATTGAAATAGAACCCTTTCTATTTGAGGAACCAATGTATGCTTTTAACTTTGCGTTATAGAGTTATAGAGTTTAGGTCTACAAACCCTATTAAGTCCTCCCTGGTCATTACCTAAACACAGCCCAAGATCTATGTAGGAAAACTGTCTTTACTCTATGATTTAAGGGTTCATTATCCTTTACTTGGGTTTAATGCTGAGTTAGGATATAGAATGTTTCCTTATGGAATGGAAGCAGTAAGTTTGGCCAGTTTTCTTTTCTTTTAACTTTTACAAAAACTTTATTGAGAAATTCATACATGTATATAAGGTGTTTTGGTCAAATCCATGCCCACTCCCTCCCCTCCAACGTTCCCCCCTCTGAAGAGGTAACCCTAAAATCTTTTAAGGATTAGATACAAGCTCTCAAATACTTTTGATGTTTTTGGTCTTTGGAACAGAGTATGTTGTTAACAGGCCCAAGGACATTTTGACTTTTAGCCAAGAAACTGGCTACATTTCTTTGGGGTCTTTTTATCCTAACTGCCTAGCCAATTCCTGCCTCCTATTCTTATCACGCCATCCTCTGAAGAGGTTACCCAGATTGCTAATAGGGATCAGGGACACAGACCGCCCTGGCTTCTTCCATGCTGACCAGGGACATAGGGTGAGGCAATCGGAGTATCCCTTCAGTGGGTCTATCTAAAAGACTCCCAAAGTGCATAACTCTTGTCTCTAAGGGGAAAAGAAAGTACTTGAATCGTGAACCGAAACTTGATGTACTGGCTTTGACATATGTTCTTAGAATTTCAGGTGTAATATTCAGGATCATCTTTTAGGTCACATACATACTAGAATCTCAATGATAGATATGTAAAGATTAAGAGATGATCTGATCATCATAACCTATATAACTCTTGCTGGTTTATCATCTTTTTTGTGTATAAGGCTGACGATCAATCTTCATGTCTGGCACATGCCATGAAAACACTCTGCCACTAAGCAGTATCTCAAGGCCTAGCTTATTATCCTTTGATAATTCATTATCTTTGGGTACTTGAAGGCATTCTTTCATCCAAAACAGAACTCACAAATATCTTAATGTATGACATATGAAAATGAGTGGATATGTCACTGAAAAGTCAGTTAATATAGAACTTTGGTGAGTAGAGAATACATTGTGGATTTCTTCTGAAACCTCTCTTTTTCTTCTTTTCATTGCTTTTCGTTATGCCAGAACAACAGATCCATCAGTTTCTCAAATGCTGTTTGATTTGCAGCATGGCAAGAATCTCTTCTAGACTTTCCAGGGAGTCTTCTTTTCATCAAAGGGGAATTAGCAGAACTAGGCTGGAAGTTTGTTAATTTGATGCATCACAACCAGCAAGTATTTGGCCCATACTATGCGGAGATCCTAAAAAAACGTCATTACTCCACCAAACACTGAAGGACATGAAGCAAAACCCATTTGACAGTACTGATCCCGAGTCCTGGCCTCATGGAACCAGAAAAAAGGGTTCATCATATTTCTTGGATGACATCACCTGTGATTAACAAAAAAGCAGCCATCTGCCTCACTTTCTAGCCAGGACGCAACTGTAGGGGTTGAGTGTCTAAACATCAAATGGCCCAACCCTCTTCTTTAATAAATTTTTGAGCTGAAAGATAAATTCTGTGTCTTCTATGATATAGCTGAAGCCATGTCTTGTGCCCCTTTTCCCTAACTGAGAAACCACTGGGCTTCAGTTTTCCTTACACTGGCAAATCATTCTTCAGTATGGTAGTTTGAGCAAGCATCAGGACATCAGGCATTAGCATTGTTTTCTTCGGTGGAAAATGTTTCCTTGAAGGCTGTGAACCTTGTATGAAATTATCTCACATTAAGTCCCTCTGAAGTCAGCTGGGCATTGTAGTGCATGCCTTTAATCCTGGCACTTGAGAGGCTAAAGCAGATCTCTGTGAGATGGAGGCCAGCCAGGTCTCCATAGTGAGTCCCAGGCCAGCTGAGGCTACAGGGAGACCCTATCAAAAAGCAAAAAACAAGTGCTTCTGAAGTTATAAATCCACTGAATTACAGATCAAAAGAGGGCAGAGAACCACATTTGTGGTATGAACTTTCCTTGTAATTTAAAAAAGATTTAGTAATGGTAAGATTATGACATCTTATTCTGGCATGTGGTTTGAGGCAGCATGAAAATGGGAATAGGGTGAAAGTTTCTATTGTCTGCTACCATGCATTCAGCTGAGATCAAGATTCAACTATAATGGGATTTCTCTTTCTAAATTGATCCCATGGATAGGAAGGGAGTCTCTGCAGTGTTACCACACCAAAGAAGTCAGTTCAGTGATTGGGTCATATCAAGTTCATACCTGGTCCTGTTCTATAATGGAATGATGCTTCTGTTTCTACATTCCAAGGTTTACAACACCCCATTCTTTTTTAAATATTTTATTAATTTTTATTTTCTGCATATGAGTGTATTGCCTCCATGTATGTAATTGCACCCTTATTCTGTACTCTCCATGGAGGCCAGAAGAGGGCATTGGAGGCTCCTGGAACTGGAGTAACGGGTGGTTGTTAGCCACCATATGGGTGCTTGAATTTAAAGATATATTTATTTTGTATCCTGCTACTTTGCTGAAGGTATTTATAAGTTCAAAGAGTTTTCTCATGGAGTCTTCAAGAAGATATATCATTTGGAAATAAGGATAATTTGACTTTTCTATTGGTTTTTTAAAATTTATCTTTTCTTGTCATTCTAGCTGACTTGAGTACTATATTGAATAAGAAAAGAGAATGTGAACCCTCTTGTCTTGTTCCTGATTTTCGTTCAAATGCTTTGAGGTTTTCGATTCAATTAGTATAATGTTAGTTCCTACTAGTTTTATGATGTCTTATGTCTTTAAGCATGCATGGTTTCATACATTGCACCCTATGATTGAATGGCCGAGAAAAAGAACAATAGGATCCAGTTTACAGATGATTCTGCGTGCATGCACTATATAGAAGTGGACAGCTGCACCATTACAGCTCATTCCTGGAACAGCATGAAGAACGCTAGTAAAGGGAAACCTTCACAGTGAGTAAAACTTTAGGTATTGTATATGGTCACACATTTTTCTTGGAAGACAAATGTCCAGATGTATGATTATATACTTATTCATGGTCTGTAACCAACGGTTTGACTGGATGGTCAGAGACTTGGAAGGACTGCATGATTAGGCAATTACTGAGAAAGGTGTTTGGGGAAGAGGCATGTTGATAGATATCACCAAAGGGAAAAGGATATGAAGGTATTTGTGTTCTGTGTAAATATTTATCAAAAGGTGAGTTCACCAGAGGAAGAGTTCAGTAATCAAGTAGATAGGCCATCATAGGCTGGCCCGTTCTATGGATAGTAGTCATCCTCTTTTCCTGGCCATTCCTGCCATTATCTAATGGGCTCATGAACAAACTGGCCATGGTGGTAGAGAGGGCAATTATGCATGGATTAACAATATGGTCTTCCATTCACCAAGACTGGGTTGGCTATTGCTGCTGAGTGCCAAATCTAATAGCAGCAGAGACAAATCCTGAGCCACTGATATGTCACTGTTCCTCAGGTGACAAGTCAGGGACCTTGTTGAATTTTTACTGCATGAGACCACTTCTATTGTGGAAAGGACAACACTTATCTTTACTGGAATAGATACTCTGGTTATGGATTTGCCTTTCCTACACATAAAGCTTCTGGTAAACTAGCATCTAAGGACTAATAGAATGTCATATTCACCATTATGGTAGTCCACACAGCTTTGTTTCTGACCAGGTATCCTACTTCACAGCTAAGTAAATATGGCAGTTGGCTTATGCTCATGAAATTATTGATCTTATTATATTTCCCTCATCCTGATACAGTTGACTTGATCGAATGGTGGAATGGTGTTTTAAAGACACAGTTGCATAGCCGCGGAGCTGTTGGCAGTTAATGGCCGTTGGGGATGTTGAGTCATTTTTTTTCAAAGGTGTAGGCACTGGTAAGTTATCCATTAGCCAGCAAATAACTCTGAACCTATGCCCATGCAAGTAGGTCTAATTAAACTCAGTGAATTATAAAAAATTACATGAAGCCAGGCATGGTGGCATGCACCTTTAGTCCCAAGACTCAGGAGGGAGAGCTCTGTGAGACTGAGTCCAGCCTGGTCTACATAGTGAGTTCTAGGCCAGCTGGGGCTACAGAGAGATGCTGTCTCAAAAATAACCCCCCCAAATTGGGGAATATAGATAGGGGAGGTGGTCTAATTATGTGCAAGATGTATTGTATGAAATTGTCAAAACAATCAATAAAAAACCTGAAACCAAACAAAGAAACAAAACAAATACATATGAAAGTATGAGGGGGAAATCTTGGGAAGAAAAGTGATTCCAGAGAGAATGGGAGTGTGATAAAAGAGGGAATAAGGCTTTAATATGATCAAAATACATTATATATGTATAATTGTCAAAGAATGAATTTTTTAAAGAAAATTTAGACACAGTTGCAGTTGGTAAGTTAAGTAGAAATATCCTGGAGGGCTGGGGCAAGGTTCTTCAGAGAGCTGTATATGTTTCAAATCAGCATCCAATCTGTGGTACTGCTTCCCTTATAGTCAGAATTCATGGGTTCAGGAGACAATGTGTGGAATTGAGAATGGTATCACTAACTATCACTCCTAGTATCCGAGTTTCATTTCTATCACTGTATTAAAAATACTCGGAGAAGGGGCTGGAGAGATGGCTTGGCAGTTAAGAACACTGGTTATTCTTGCAGGAAACTCGGGTTTGAATCCCAGCACCCACATGGCAGCTAACAACTGTCCGTAACTCCAGTCCCAGGCACTCCAGCAGCCTCTTCTTACCTCCGCAGGCATTGCATGACATGGGTGCACTTACCTACATGCAGGCAATACACACATACACCTAAAATAAAAATAATAAATAAAAAATTATATTCAGAGAAAAACAAATTAGAAAGAAAGGATTCATTTTAGATCATAATTTCATCTTACAGTCCATCATGGGTAGAAGTCAAGGAGGCAGGAACTTGAAAGTGCTACTCATATCACATTGACAGTCAAGAGCAGAGAGAAGTGAATGCATGCATGCCCACTTGCTTGCTTGTGCTCAGCTCAATTTCTCCACAATTATGCAATCTAGGACCCCTGCCTAGGGAATGGTGCTGCCCAAATTGGGTTGGGTCTTCCCAAATCAATTAACTTAATTAAGAAAATCCTCCATAGTTATGCTTACAAGCCAATTCAATGTAGACAATCCCTCATTGAGACTCTCTTTCTAGATTGTATCAAATTAACAAAGCTAACTATAACACCAATGGTGTATAAACACCATATTTATAATACAGTTACTGTACATGAGCACTGTAGTTGTTTTCCTATATTAGCCACTCTGGATAGGAAAGATGTAGTATTGTATCTGCTTGTTTAAAATAAGATCATATACTTAGAAAATCCTAAATATTCTATTTAATTAAGAGGGTGAAAATAACATCTATGATTTTATTTGCATATTTTAAAATTTTTATTTATTATTTTTATTTTATGTGTATGTGTGCATTGCCTGCATGTAGGTAAGTGCACCTGTGTCATGCAATGCCCGTGGATGTCAGAAGAGGCTATTGCACTATAGTTACAGACAGTTGTTAGCTGCCATGTGGGTGCTGGGATTCGAACCCAGGTCTTCTGCAAGAACAACCAATGTTCTTAACCACTGAGTCATCTCTCCAGCCCCTGCATATTTATTTTAATTGAAAAAGGAAATCACATTTTATGTTACAAAAAGTAGCTCTAGGGCTGAGGATGTAGCTCAGTGCTTAAAGACCTGGCCCCTCAAGTGTGAGGACTGGAGTTTAGATTCTCACAACACATGTAAATGCTGGGTGGACGTGGTGGCTCTCCTGTAATTTCAGTCTCAGAAAGCAGAGACAGGTATTCTGCAGAGCAAGCTGGCTAGTAAGACTAGTCATATCAGCAAGCGTTAGATTTGATTGAGAGACTCTTAAGTGGAAACATGGTTGAGGATTATTCCCAATATCAACTTCAGGCCCCCCTTGCATGCCTATATGTATACAAATGCACCCCTCACATGTAGATCTCCATAAATGCAAAAACACACATATACACATCCATACCATGAACACAGAAATAAAAATGGAACAAGAAAAAAAGGTTGTGTTATTATTTTCACAATAAGGACTACTTTTCCAGCAAAGTAATCTGTTGACCATCCTTCAGAAGTAATTACTCCATTTATTGAGAAATTATCATAATAGCCTATTCATACAATTAATGTGTCTTCAGTAGCATACGACATAAGATAACATCACAACACTTCAGTGTGGTATGACCACAGACAAGAGGAATTTTCAAAAATTCTTCCTTCTGAATACTCAATATAAAATTATTTGATACATTTTGGCCTGGTGAAACAGGCTTATAATATGCCAAGTACTTGGGAGGCTAAGGCGGGAGAATTATAAGTGCAAGGCCTGGACTGCAGAGTGACATTAGGTTTGTCTAACATATTTCCCTTTGAAAGAGGGAGAAA